TCTGAAGTTAAATTTCGTGTCGAGGAAACTTCTCACCACCAGAGCATTGTGTGGCGGTGCACCGTCATGTTGGAACCAAACTGCTGTACCAACTTCAGTTTCTATACGCCTGATGGCAGGTACCACATTATCTTGTAACATTTGCAAGTATGGAACATCTTTTATAATATGAAGATAAATATTCCCGTAATATTTGTTCTTTCTTTCTTTCTTTCGGAATTCTATCTCAGAGGTAGTTAGTCAGATCGTTCAACGCAAAAACAACCAGTTGGAAAAAAATCAAGAAGAGGTTTGCGTGAGCCTACATCAGGAGATATTGTTGTCCGTTATTAAGACAAGTTCTAAGTTTTATTATGGTTATCTGCTTACCGAACCCGCTTCGAAAGATAGCGCGTGTATCTTATACGAGTCAAGTGTTGGTTCAGTGTCATAATCGCTTAAGCATTTTTCATTCGGAATTTCCCACATGGCGCACCGCTCCACAACTGATTCTCTACCAACACAGGCTGCATGGGATTCGGAACCTATCCTTCTCCTGTGCCGGCCCGAAAATCACACGACCGATCGGGTTCATTTGTCGATCGGTCGAATGGTTCAGCCGCAACAAGGGACCCGGTGCTTGTCCAGCTAACCCGAGCGAGAAACCACACCTTTTTTACAGCTGTGAGTCTCAGACAGGCCCAGTGAACTTCGACTGTGTAGCAGGAGTACCATCCGTACTCGGATGAACCGGACGTAACACCAAGAGCATTACAAAACGTGCAAGCCGGTAATCAGACGGTCTCGTGTTGGGGTGAGAGATTTTAAGCGCCGCAGATCGCGGAATATGATCCAATCAGATCGCACTGTGGGTCAGAGGGAATTTACTTGCTTAAAGTCACGGGTGAGAGGGCGAGACGACCGAAAACGATGGAGCAATCGCACTGTAGTTCTGTCCGACGTTCTCTAAGATTTCTAATATTTTCCAAATAAATGCAACGGTGGTGGCCAGGTGGTGACGTCACCAATTATCACCTCGGAGGACGTGTGTTCGAATCCCACCACCACTGCCTGTCTCCCCATAATATGTGTTGAATGGCAGCCCTTTGATTGTTCGCTTCCCCCTTCCTGAAAAATTGTATCTACGTGTGCTCAACAAAAAGAAGTGAATGATGAAAGATAACAAACGATAACATAAACCGGTAAATAATGTTAGTATTACCATTCCTTAGCAATGGAACAAGGATAGTTTTAATCGAAAAACTTGGAAAATCAGGATTTATCAGTGCTGAAATAGATTTATCCGTGTTTTCAGGCCAGAGCCCTTCTGTCCTCTGTGAATACGTTGTTGCCTATCCAAATGTTTACTGTAGTCGTTTTTGCTCGTTTGAAACTGCCTCCGTGAATACGGATAGATAGATAGATAAATAGAGAAGCCCTGCATACATTCTTCTGCCCCTCACTGAATACCTAAAATTGCTAGCAAAATTTTCCTTTGCCATACTGAGGACCACTATACAGTCCTTTCTGCTGATCCTAGATCGATATCATTATACACGGTGGCAAAATAGCATAAGGTATCATACTTTAACACCAGTTATCATTTCCCATGTCTGTCCAAGTTTCATTCTGCAAAGTTAGAAAGCTGTCAGATTCTTCACTCTACTTAAGAACATTTTTTAACCGCACAATATGATTGTTAACTTTGTGGATGCACTCCACTATTGGTTGTAATACTGCCCAGTTATTATCCCTGGTTAAATGATTATATACTTGCATTTGTTGGTAAAATCAATAAAACAAATGCCAAACGCACTGACGACTTAAGACAGATGAGAGTTTTGGTGGTGGTGGTGATTTAGTCGTTGCCACCGGCGTGCTTTGTACCCTGTAGTCCGAGGTTCGAACCCGGCCACCGCCCCCCAAATTTTATGGTAAGAAGATTTGTTGTTGTCCGGTTCAAAACCACACCTAACCTCCCGGGGCCCTATGTAATTCGCCTCTCCAAGTCCCAGGTTTTAGATTGCCCGTTTCCATCACTGAACAGGTAGGTCTTGGCCACTATGGGGCACACTCCGTCGGTCGTTCATCACACAAATGTGCATAATAGAATAAGGAGCGCCATCAGACAGACATCCATTGCACAAATAACTGTCAACGCGGTATTTACATCACGGTTGCTCAAAGTTAAAACTTTTATTTTAC